GAACACATGTATCTTTAAAAACCAGGACATCACTTGCCAAGTTAATTTTCCCCTACCACAGTGCTTATACAAGCACATGCTGAGATGGAGCCCCTGATATTAAGATGAATGGCTAAGTGTCCTAGCAACAGGATTTCTTGCTAATCCACAACGGACAAACGGCTTGAACGAGACAACCTGTATATTGTGTCAAAGCGCTGAGATTCTAGGGCTGTTACTACAGCTTAACCTAGGCTACCTTGACCAACGTACTATACAATATACAGTCGCTGGGATACAGCAGTGAATCAAAGTGACAACATTCCTCCCCCGTGGGCTCCTCAGGACTTGCTTGCAATATTCAAGCTAGTCCAGCCAAACAATTAAGAAGAAGGCAGATCGGCCAATGTGAACTTACTGTGTCCTTCTGCCTCCCAAAGGGGAGTTTTTTGTTTTTGTTTTTGTTTTTTTGGTACTGGGAATTGAACTCATGACCTCAGGCTTGCCAGGCAAGCGCTTATGCCGCTGAGCTATATCCCCCGCCCAAGAGGAGTTTAGAAATGCTATAAAGGAGTCAAAGAAAAAAGCTAGAGAAGTATCCATAATATGGTCACATCTTACAGAACTTCTACACCCTCTCAAAATGCATGATGCAGCTCACCAACGCAGAGGTCACCCTCCACACGAACAAGGTCTGAAGAGAGACTTCTACGCGCATCGCAGAACCTGAGTTTTTACTGGGGCTGTGTCACCCCGACCAGGGTGAAGACCAGTCCATCCAGAGCTCCTCCACTCCTGGAGCAAGGAAACAGGAGCTCCTTCTCGCAGTGGTAAAGGGTACAAGGGGTCTGAGCGCCCAGTCGTCGTTTCAACTGACAGATATTTCCTGACCATCCACTGTGTGTCAGGAATACCATGTTCAGAGACAGGGATGAACAAGACAAAGTCCTGCTTCCAAGGAGCCCATGTTTAACATGAGAGCTAGGTATTAACAATCATTGCACCGGCGAATCTTCTATGAGGTAGAGAGTGATGACTGCTTTGAAACAAACAGGTATGCTGGGCGTGGTAGTGCACACCTGTAATCCCAGCACCTGGGAGGCTGAGGCAGGAGCATCGTTGCGAGGCCAGCCTGGGCTAAAAAGTGAGCTCAAGGTCAGCCTGAACTGCAGAGGGAGACCCTGTCTCAAAAAGACAAAAATAAAAAATAAAAAAAGAAACAAACAGGTATGACAAATGTTATGGTACACACACAACAAATGGGGGAATGGTATTGCAGTGTTTTTATTTTTCTTTTATGCTGAGGGAATTGAATCTTGTATTCTGTGCATACTACACACATTTTCTACCAGGAGATACACCCTTATCTTAGGATGGTAATTTGGGTGCCCAGGGAAGCATCCTTGTGGAAGTGATGCTGAGTTTGGGCTACAACACAGCTGCCAAGGAGGAATTGAGCCTCTGGAGGGTCTGAAGGAAAAGTGTCCCAGATAGGATGGTAAGTGCAAAGGCCCTGAAGTATACAAAAGGAGGATAAAGTAGGGCACGCCTGTCATCCCAGCTACTCAGGAGGGTGAGGCAGGAGGATCGAAAGTCCAAGGCCAGCCAGGGCAACTTAGCGAGACTCTGTCTTAAAACAGAAAATTAAAAAAAAAAAAAAAAACAGAAAATTGAAAGGGTAAGGACATAGCTTAGGATAAGGCCCTGGGTTCAGTCCTGTTACTGAAAACAAGAAAAGAGGAACGTGAAGAGCTTGACAAAGAGTGGCAGGAGATAACAGGAGAGATGACGGCGGAGTGGGGAACCGCACAGGCTCTCGTGGGTGTCAGGAGTTTGGAAGCCCATGGATATTCTGAATCAGAAAATTTATATAAACTGTAATTTGTACTGAAGAGATCACTGCAACTGCAATGTGGAAAGGACTCAGTTTTTTATTTTTGTTTTTGTTTTTGTCTTTTTGAGAAAGGGTCTTACTATGCAGTTCAGGCAAGCCTTAAACTCACTTTGTAGCCCAGGATGGCCTCCATCTTGAAGCAATCCTCCTGCCTCAGCCTCCTGAGTGCTGGGATAACTGGCGTGCGCCACCACGCCTGGCCTAGGAATCAGTTTTGAGGCATTTCCGTAGTCTAGATAAGGGACTGAACAGTTGGTACCAGGAAACAAAGCTCCTAATAGGATGTATTTTTGAAAGACGAGAGGCTATCCTCATGGACTAGATACGGGAAATGAAAGACAGAATCAGGCTGAAGGAGGATGGTCATTCCGAACTAAGAAACAGGAAGCGAGGAACTCATGCGGGGGTGGAAATCAGAACTTCTGTTTTCGAACATGTTGAATTTGACATTCCCACTGGGCAGAATTTCAAGACAACACAGTTTAACCCGGAGAGCAACCAGAACCCGTGGAAGGGTTACAGGTGTCCTGTGAGGAGAATCCCGCGCTGCAGGACAGAAACCATGTCAGTGACTCCCTCTCGGCCCGTCCATACCCGAGAAGGTCTGCTCGGCTCTAAGGACAGTTTTCGCACTTCAGCATGTTCGTTTTTGCTGTCCTTCCTTCTGGCTGGCCCGTTCCTTTGCTTACGATCACCTTAAAGCTTGAATGAAAGATCTGAGAGAGAAAGCACCTAAATAGGTCCATTCTAGACAAGCCCCGAGAGAACTAGTTAGCTAAAGACAGGATTTTTTTCCCAAAGTCATCTTCTGTGGATTTTCGTTTCATTCTCATCTCATTATTGCTGAAAATTGGGACTTTGTGGCTGGTTGCTTCCACATCTATTTTTTTTTTCTTTTTTTCTTTTTTTCTTTTTTTTACTTTTTGAGACAAGGTTTAGCTATGTGGTTCAGGCTGGTGGTGAGCTCACTTTGTAGCTCAGGCTGGCCTCAAACTCACAACGATCCTCCTGCCTCAACCTCCCAAGTGCTGGGATTACAGGCGTGCACCACCATGCTCGACCCCCATCTAATTTTTAACTGTTTCTGTCATCAAATAAAAACTTCAAATGGACCTTTCTCAAGAGTCAATAGAGAATATCACTTTTTAAAACTTTGAAATGTAAAATCTAACACAGAGAGTGCAATGAATATCCTGCATCTTCACCTAGCAAATACTTTGCCATATGTGCCTCAGTTTTTGTTTGTTTTTTATTTTTATTTTTATGTCTTTCTGAGACAGAGTCTCGCTATGTAGTTCAGGCTGGCCTTGAGCTCACTTTGTAGCCCAGGCTGGTCTCGAACTCACAACAATCCTCCTGCCTCAGCCTCCCGAGTGCTGGAATTACAGGTGTGCAACACCACCCCCGGCCTTTGTTTGTTTTTTAAAGTCATGTTTTCCCTTTCTGGCCTCACTTTGTTTGTCCCAACTAGTGTTTTCTTACTGCTATTAAATATGTATCTATCCATAAGCTACTTTTCTATCAATAGCATCATATTGACTATAGCCTCCTGCAACATTCTTTCCATTGAGAAATATATACATATATACTCAGCTGTTGATAATTTTTTCTATTATGAACACTGGCTGTTAGAATTATTCTTGAATGCAGTATTTCAAGATCATGCACAGTTGGAGCACAGACTAAGTAAGAAATTGGTGATTAGTAAGAAATACACAATTTTTCTTAGCTATTGCCAAGTCCTACCAGCACTGTAGAATATTTCCTGATTTCTGATTCTTCATACCTTAGCAAACACAAGCTAAAGTCTAACTGCTTAATTTTGCCAATCTGATGGCTATGACATAATACATATTTCCTTTGGTTTTTTTTTTGTTTTGTTTTTTTTGGGGGGTTTTTCTCCGGTACCGGGAACCGAACTCACGACCTTGCACTTGCCAGGCAGGTGCTTTGTCGCTGAGCTAAATCCCCAGCCCCCATATTTCTTTGTTTTTTTAATGTCACTTTCCTGATTCTAGCACAGAGGATTAAACATTTATTTTTCATGTCATGGACATTTTTCAACCCCTTCCATGCTATAGTAAATCTGATGATAAAATGTGAAAAAAAATGTTTAAAAACCCCTCAACTATAAATTAAACAAATATGTACCGTGCTGTTCATTCTACATTTGCTCATCCAGCAATTATACTCAACTCTTGATAATTGCCAGGCCTGGGTTACAAAGATGACCGAGATTTTGTGCAGAAATAGAAATGATCTCAGGAAATCATAAGGCAGTTAGTTAAATAATATAATGGTCACGGCGTCACAATGCGCGCCTGGAAAATCAACATCTGTCCCTCAGGGTCCTTGCCTCTGCAAGGGTGTAACAGCTAGCATTCACTGTTTGCATCTGACCTATTTACTATTCCACAGGCATCATCTAAGCAGTCCCATCTGATCTTCACAAGGACCCTAAGAGGAAGTTACTATTATTTTCTCCATTCCCCTCAAACACAGAAGTAAAATAGTTTTTCCACAGTGGGAACAAAACTGTGTTGAAGCCAGGCAGTCTGAACCCAGAGTCTGCGCTCCTAGGAAGTTTATACTATTTTTTACCCATAATTCCTTGCCTTTACCTCTCTTTCTGCCTCCCTAAGCAAAAGCAGAAGACATTACTTTTTGATGTCATACAACCTGGCAATACCTCTATTAAAGATGCTGCTTTTTGAGTGATTTCCAACTATCTTCTACTTTAGAAGAACAGCACAAAGTAGGTGTTTAATAAATATCCTAGTGAATATGGAAATGCAATGGGATACGAAGGAGGAAAACTGATTTTTCATAGGGTGATCTCAACCACCTTGAAGAAGGAAGAAATGTGCCCGGCAAGCAAGCAGGCCAGCCTGGAAAAGGTGCTTCCGCTGCCGGTGCGAAGGAGCTTCCGAAGCCTGGGCTTGTGGGGAGCAGGTATTCACGGAGGAGTGCAGGGAGAAGAGGAAAGCGAGGCAAGGGCTGCTGCAGTTGATCGATTTTTCTTTTAGGCTTTGAAGGCGAGTGAAACCCTAGGAAATTCAGACTATTCCGTGTATTTGTTTATGTCTAACTTTAGATGGACTTAAAGAACAATATTTGCTGTATATAAGGGTAAACCTCTAAAGGATTCTGTTAAAATTAACTTTTAAAGAAAATGTCAGCATTTCATAAAAGCTTTGCTCAGGCACGTTTATCATTTCTTTGAAATGAACCACGTCAGACACCCACTGAGACCCCTGAGCGCACTTTAAATGCTTATTTTTGCGAAAAGAGAACTTTTTCACCCTCTTCAAATTCGAACCCTCTCCAAAATACGCGTAGACTTCCAGTCTAACTTTTTGTGGCTGTCACTTTCAGTTTTTCGGTTTTTGTGCTTTACTTTTACTTAGGGGAGAATGAAATTTTATTCATATATTTGCAGGTTTTTCCTTAATGTATAACTGTAACGCATGACATGAAATAAATGGAAGTGTCTGGCCCAACGCTGAACAAGGACGTCTGGGGCGCAGATATATAAAGGACTGGCTTGTTTAGGGGCTTTACTCAAGTCCAGCAATCATGTGACAGCAGAAACAAAGGCAGAATGGGAACTTGACACAAGCAAAAGCTAAACAACGAGAAGAGAAACTTGTACAGTAAGATGAGAAAATAGCGGAGAATAGAAAAGAATGTTTAGAGTTGGCCTTAGAAAGTGGACTTCACCCTGGTAGAAAAGGAGATTAAACAGTTTATCTTTCAAGCCGTGAGGAACTGGTTCTAAAAAATAAAGCTCCTTGGGGCTGACCAATGTAACTTAAGCGACTGATTGAACACGCGTAGAAGGATGACTATACGTGATATGACACAGAAGTCAGGAAACTTTTACACAGTGTGGTAAGGAGAAATTACCCAGTATTCCTACAGGATGACTAGTCAGTTACATCTGTGGTTCTTAACTGGTACCACATAAAGTAATTTCATGACATAAATTTTTCATACAACCCACAGAGTTTAGTACAAGTCACTGAACTATAATAATCTAAGAACTATTTTATAAAACTTCAGAAAAAGTTTTGTTTTTTTTTTACATTTCTTTCCTTTTTTGGTACTGGGAACTCAAATGTATTTTTTTTTTTTTTTTTTTTGGTACTGGGAATCGAACTCAGGACCTTGCATTTGCCAGGCAGGCATTTGTGCCACTGAGCTATACCCCCAGCTTATTGGTACTGGGAATTGAACTCAGGACCTTGTACTTGCCAGGCAGGTGCTTGTACTGCTGAGCTATGTCCCTGGCCCCTAAAGAGATTGTTAAGGCCTTTGTGTTTGGCATGATTATATTTATTTCTTGTCTTGATTGCCTTTCTCTTTGCTAAGACAAAATGCCCGACACCCAAAATTAAAGGAGGGAAGGTTTATTTGGCTCACAGGTTTTAGAGGTTTCAGTTCATGGTGGGCTGGCTCCGAGGCAGGGTGGCACGGCAGAGGGGCATCGCAGAGGAGGCAGGCAGGAGACAGCAAGCAACAAGCGACAACCCCATTTCTGTCCCTTACGTCTTATCCAGGGTACCCACCCTTATTCCCAGCGGTTCACCCTTGATCCCAGCTTCGCACACTCTAAATCCAGCCACCTTCAAAGTCCCTCATGACTGCATGAGGTTTTCCCACATCTCGCACACTCTAAATCCAGCCACCTTCAAAGTCCCTCATGACTGCATGAGGTTTTCCCACATCTACACACAAGCCACAACGTTTCTCATTCAAACAGTAATGCTTAGATTATATTTATTTCTCATGAAACAATAATGCACCCACTAAAAAACACCATAACAGGAAATACTTCTCTAAGTTCATTTCCTATTGCTACTGTAGCACACCACCACAACCAGAAGGGCATAAAACAACACAAATTTGTTCCCTTATAGTTCTGAGATCAGAAATCCAAAAACGGATCAGGACGGAGCTCTGGCAAAACACATGCCTACTATGTGCAAGGCCCTGGGTTCAATCCCTAGTGCAGAAAGGAGGGTGGCGTAAGAACTGGGCTTACGGTAGTCACGTTGGCAGGACTGCATAGCTGCTGGGGGTTCCAAGAGGATGCCTACATTCCCTAGGTCATAGCCTCTTCCTCCAAAAGCAGCCGCGGCTGGTTGAGTCCCTCACACGGCATGCTTCCATCAACTTCCGCCTCCTTCCTCCGCATTAAAGACACAATTACATAGTGGCCACCTGTACAATCCGAGTTAATCTCCCGATTGGGAGATGAACGGACTAGCAATCTAAATTTCCCTTTGGCCTGTAACACACTCAGGTTCCTGGGATTTAGGATGTGATTTTCTTTTGGGAGTAATTATTTTGTGTACAATTTCTAAAGTTAAACTCCTATATCGTTCAAGACGGATGTTCATTCTATCAACAATGCTGGGGCTGGGGATTTAGCTCAGCCTCACAGTGCCTGCCTGGCAAGCGCAAGGTCGTGAGTTCAATTCCCGGTACCGGAAGACAAACAAACAAACAAAACAATGCTGAAATCTTAGCTGTGTTCTGCACATTTATAGATATTACATATTCTTCTACATGGCTGAAAAGTGCACCTTGTACATAAAGCATGACCAAACATGGTATGTCTTTTCATAGGATTCTTGTCTTGAGGCCTATGGAATTTTATAGTACTTTTCAGTTTCTGATATCTTAAAATATATGACTGCTGAATACACATACTGTCTCTCTTAGGAAAGAATAACAGTATCTTAAAATCATTACTTTTTTGCTACAAATAATAAATATTTACACTGAAGAAGGGAGAAAAAGTTGGGTATTTAAAAGTTTCTAAAATCTTGGTAGTGACTAGGGATGTAGCTCAGTGGAAATCTGCTTCTTTAGTGCAAGGCTGTAAGTTCGATCTCCAGCACAAAATCAAAACAAAAAAAAAAGAATAACAAAACAAAACAAAAACAAGAAAAGTTAGTAAAGGAAATTCAAGCTGGGCATGGTGGTGCACGCCTGTAATTCCAGCATTCAGGAGGCTGAGGCAGGAGGATCTTTGCAAGTTTGAGGCCAGCCTGGGCTACAAAGTGAGTTCAAGGCCATCCTGAACTGCATAGAGAGACCCTGTCTCAAAAAGACAAAACAAAAAAAACAACAAAAAAAGAGGAAATTCAGTTTTTAAAAGAAATTTTAGTTCAAGAGAATGGAGACAGTGAGATAAAAGGCAAAGTTTTACTTCCAACTTTTACTGAAAAAATAAGTAAACCTTCACAGTGATATTAGCCCACTGTAGTAGTAGTTTGAGCAAAAAAAATTTTTTTTCGTTTAATTTTATTATTTTCTTCAGAGAGATTGAGAACAAGCTACGATTGTCTAGGCAAAACAGCTCCGTCTGGCGTCTTACCAGTCATTCCCTTGAGAACACCTCAAGGCGAGGTTCAGGCGAGGGAAAGGAAAGAGAGGCTAGACTCCTGCCCCAGTGGAAAAATTCAGACCTGAAGTGGCTCAGAGAAAAGGACCAAGAGGGGAAGAAACAGTGATCGGAGGGGAGATCCCGCTTCCGTCCTGTCACGGGTTTCGTAAGCTGGGTCTGTTCCTGGAGGAAAGGGGTGGAGCAGCAGCACGACGCCAGCCCGGACGAGGCGCGCCGCGCCGGACCGCGTCTCCCGCGGGACCCGCAGGACCCGGCCCGGGCGCCCTTCCAGGAACGCGCCCCACCCGCGCCCTGCTGGCCCGGAGCGTAACCGGATCAAGCGACCAGCCGGAGACCGGCGGGCCTCGGGTGCACACCTCGCTCGCTCGCTCGCTGATTCTAGGCGGCGGGACAAAAGAGTTCGAGGAGGAGGTGGGCGCCCGGGCACCAAGGGCGGGTCCCACGCGCGTTTCCGGCGCGGGCGCGTGCC